GAACATTCTTAACTTTCAATAATTAATCCCGATTAATAATGTCCGCTTATAAAATAAACGGTTCGGAAATTAATTATCGAATTTGACTCGGTTAATAATTAACCGGATTGACTTTTTGACTTAACGTCGAACGTATTCGCTGAAAATGAACGGAATTAATAAAAGATAATACATCATTTATATTAAGAAGAAGTTGGGTTATTACAATCTAACCCCCTTAAAATATTTCCGTCCTCGAAAATATAAAACAAAACATATATACATGAAAGATGTACACGTCAAAACTGAAAATCAGGAAAGCGAGCGCGAAGGTCAGCCTACTGCTCCCAAGTAGCTCCGTGGCGATCCCACTGAATACGAACGAGGGGAACATTACGCTTCCGGATCCGTCGAACCTGTCGGTCCAACACAGCTACCGGTCGCTCCTCGTAAGATAAGTCTGGATGAATCTCAATATCAGTATGAGGAATGACATGATCGGGGTCGCACACGTACTTGCGTAACATAGATACATGAAAGACATTATGAACACTGGATAACTCGGGAGGTAAGGCTAAACGATACGCAACATCGCCCACTCGCTCGAGTACTTCGAACGGGCCAATGAACCGAGGGTGTAACTTCCCTCTCTTCCCGAATCGAACAACTCCGCGAAATGGACTAACTCTGAGAAAAGCGTGCTCACCAACCTCGAATTGGATATCTCGTCGATGATGATCGGCGGTTGATTTCATTCTACTCTGAGCTGTTTTGAGTCTCTGCCGGATCAACTCGACTTGTTCTGCTGTTTCCTCGATTAGCTTCGGACCGAGTACTTGATGTTCACCGACGTCGTCCCAATAAAGAGGGGAACGACATTTACGACCATATAGTGCCTCATAAGGAGCCATCTGAATAGAAGAATGATAACTGTTGTTGTACGCAAACTCGGCGTACGACAATAATGACTCCCATTTAGCACCCCTGTCAACAACCAAAGCGCGCAACATATCCTCTAATGTCTGTATAGTACGCTCTGTCTGTCCGTCAGTCTCGGGATGGTAGGGTGAACTGAATGCTAGCTTCGTACCCATCGCCTCGTGTAAACTCTGCCAAAATCTACTGGTGAATCTGGGATCTCTGTCTGACACGATAGTAACAGGTACTCCATGGAGTGGAACGATCCCGCGGACATAAATCTCAGCCAACCTATCCAAAGACATACTCATCGATACTAGTAAGAAATGAGCAACCTTAGTCAATCTGTCGACCACGACCCGGATAGCGTCGTGATGTTCAGACGACCTTGGTAACCCCGTGACAAAATACATCGCAACCTCCTCCCACTTCCACTTTGGAATCGGCAGTGGTCGTAGAAGGCCTATGGGACTCTTGTGCTCGGCTTTAACTTGCTGACAGGTTAAACATCTCCTTACAAAGTTGGCTACGTCTTTCTTCAATCCTCGCCACCAAAACGACCCTTTCAGGTCATGATACATCTTTGTACTTCCTGGATGGGCTAGGTATGGTGCGGTATGAGCCTCAGATAAAATCTCCTTCCACAATGCTTCGACTTTCGGCACCACAATCCTGCCACGAAACTCCAAGGCCCCATCAGTGCCTCAGTGAAAACCCTCAACGCCTCCGGCACGAACCTTGGCATCAATCGCACGAATAAACTCATCTGAAGCCTGCTGTTGCCGGATTCTCTCCCTCAGCATCGGCTGAACCTGCATAGAACTCACACTCCCCGTACTGGCTGTAGGAAGTGCATCAATCACCTGAATCTGCATCTGGGTGAACTGTCGTGTCAACTGACTCTGCTGAGTAACCACATACGTCAAGTCAGCCTTCACCTTGCGGCTTAGGGCATCAGCAACAACAATCGCCTTTCCCGGATGGTACTGAATCATACAATCATAATCCTTTACGAGCTCTAACCAACGGCGCTGTCTCATGTTAAGCTCCTTCTGAGTAAAGATATACTGTAAGCTTTTATGATCGGCAAAGATTTCGCATCGACCTCCGTATAGATAGTGTCGCCAAATCTTAAAGGCATGAACAACTGCAGCTAATTCCAAGTCGTGCGTCGGATAGTTCTGTTCATGTGGTTTAAGCTGGCGAGAAGCATAAGCAACGACCTGGACATCTTGCATGAGTACACATCCCAAACCCTGCCTCGAAGCATCACTATAGATGGTGAAACTCCGAGAAGGATCTGGAATAGTCAACACCGGTGCCGTTGTAAGCCTCCTTTTCAGCTCCTGAAAACTCGACTCACAACGGTCTGTCCATTCAAACTTTACAGACTTCCTCGTCAGCTGAGAAAAAGGGAGGGCAATCTTCGAGAACCCCTCAATAAATCTGCGATAATAACCTGCAAGACCGAGGAAACTACGAACCTCGGACGGATTCTTCGGTGCTGACCAATTCTGAACTGCAGCAATTTTGGAAGGATCAACTTCAATACCCGCTGAAGTAATAATGTGGCCAAGAAAGGCCACTCGCTGAAGCCAAAACTCGCACTTGGAGAACTTTGCATATAACTTTTCACGTCTAAGGGTCGAAAGAACGGCCCTCAGGTGCTCCTCGTGCTCCTTCTGGCTCTTGGAATAAATAAGAATATCATCAATGAAGACAATAACGAACTGGTCGAGAAAAGGATGAAATACACGGTTCATCAAGTCCATGAATACTGTCGGGGCATTACTGAGGCCAAACGACGTAACCACAAACTCGAAGTGACCGTATCTCGTACGAAAAGCTGTCATGGGTATGTCTGACTCCTTGATTTTCAGCTGATGGTAGCCTGAACGCAAATCAATCTTGGAAAACACGCAGGCTCCCCTCAACTGATCAAATAAATCACTAATCCTGGGAAGCGGATATTTATTCTTGATCGTTAACCGGTTAAGATCCCGGTAGTCGATACACATATGCATGGATCCATCCTTCTTCTTGACAAAAAGGACTGGTGCTCCCCAAGGAGAAACGCTCGGTCGTATAAAACCGAGAATCAGCAACTCTTGAATTTGGGTCTTTAATTCCTGCAATTCTTTAGGTGCCATTAGGTACGGCGCCTTAGAAACGGGTCGGGCTCCAGGGATAAGATCAATAGAAAATTCGACCTGTCGACTAGGTGGACCTCCGGGAAGCTGGTCTGGAAACACGTCCACGAACTCACGAACGATAGGAATGTCATGAGGTGAACGTGCCTTTGGCTCATCTCCAACGAGGCTCACAAGATAACCCTGACAATCACCCCGTCGAAGAATCTTTCTGGCTTTCGCCATAGAAATAACGTGAGGCAGAGTACGAGTCCTGGAGCCGTAATAAGTGATCTGATCATCTCCCGAAAGATAAAGAGTAATCTCCCGGTCGTGACATCGAATATTTGCGTGAATACGTGTTAGCCAATCCATACCGAGTATGAGGTCAAAATCCCTCATCTCGATAACATAAGCATCAGTAATCAGAATACGGCGGCCGATGGAAAGGCTGAGATCGGTGGCTCTAGCGTCAGTCACTATCTTTCGTCCCGAGGCTAAACTCACCTCGAGAGGATCGACAGCGGTAGTGGAACGAACCCCAATAGCTTCGAGACATCGACGTGATATAAAGGAATGGGTCGCTCCGGTATCAAATAAGGCATAGACAGGTACATCATTAAGAATAATCATCCCGGACATGGTACCTGGGTGCTGGTCGGCCTCCCTCTGGTCAACTGCAAAAACGCGGGCCTGCTTTCTGCCGCGTGGCTGTTGCTGGGGTCGTGGTGGCTACTGCCTGGGCTGTTGTTGTTGTGGTTGCTGTGGTGGTTGACGTTGTTGCGGTTGTTGTTGCAGTCGTTCTGGACAGTTGGGGCTGATGTGGCCTGGCTGGCGGCAAAAGAAACAAATGTTCTAACCCACGAGGCATTCTCCACGGTGGCGCTTTCCACATGTCTGGCAAGCTGGTGTTTGTCTGGGACGGGTCCTCCGGTCGTCAAAAGTGGTTCTGAACTTCCTCTTCTCCTGGTTCTTTGATGATTGGGCAACGTTGGGCTGTGCTGGTGGCTGAACAACTGGCGGGGCTGGTGTCTGGGCGGCTTCTTGTCGGATACTGGCATCGACTTCTTGTGCAATAGCAACTGTGCGGGTGTAGGTCTGGACGCCGTTACCTACGATGTTGTGGCAGACTGTTGGGCGAAGTCCGTCGGTGAAACGATGGGCTCTCTTCGCCTCCGTACCCACAAGATCAGGTACAAAGGCTCTGAGACGGGTAAACTCTCTCTCGTACTCGTCAACAGAATGAGTACCCTGGGTGAGTGCCAAGAACTGGCGCTCCATGTCTGCTCGGTAATACGAGGGATAATACTTCTCTCGGATCAGCTCCTTGAATTGGTCCCACGTACAACCTTTTTTCTCGCTGGGACGCATACTCCAATAGGAATTCCACCAGAGTTGGGCATCACCGGTCAGCTGGATCTGGGCACATAACGTGCAATAACGATCAGGGCTGTCCATGACCTCGAAAATCATCTCGAGGCCCTGAACCCATTCGTCTACTATACGAGGGTCTCCTTGGCCGAAAAATTTTTCTGGTTGGTAGTCGCGAAACTGTGCGACTACTGTGGCCTGAGGACGTTCCTGGTGTTCTGGATCTCTACGAGGAGGCATCTGAACATTAAAATATTTAACATGATTAAATAACATAGGAGATTAACTGACTAACTGTTTAAGTACACAAATTTCTTGACGAGTCGCTAATTAACCCGAGAATACTAAAGTCAAACTATCAAGTAACTGAGACAATCGACTATGTTCTGATAATACTCGAGCATCTTACTAGTTTCTAGGGTCAAATGTCTGGTACCCTCTTACTGAGCATAGACTTAAGCATTTGTTTAAATATACATATAAACTATAACTCAACACTTACCTGTAGTCTGCGAGGCGTGAGCGTAGCGTGGTCGGGTCTATCTGAAAATTTCTGGTTTTAAAAGTATTCAGATACACGAAAACGTGCTCTGATAACAATTTGTAACACCCCGCTAACTTACTAAAATCAGAGTACGATTTTTGCAAATTCTTTTCTAAAGTTTACATTTTAGTTTGTGAAACATATTTCGGGATGCTATATAAAATATTTCCTTTCTAAAAATCTGTTAACTTTATTAATTTTTAAACTCATTTATGAAAAACGGATTATCATTTATAAAACAAGCGTGTGATACTGAATAAAATTTGACCCGAAGACTCGGGGTCGTCATCTAAAAATCAACATGCTAGTCTAAGTAAAAACGTGGAAAATATGTACATATCAACAGACTGCAAAAATATATACATATTTACATGTACTGCACCGGCGACCACCAGGTCATAATAGTGGGAGCGTGAGTACTAAAATCACTGTACTCCGCAGAAACTCATACTAAAGTAAACATTAATAATAATATCAATATCATGACTGCAGGCATATATAAGTAACTGTAATCTCCAGACACAAGGTCTGTAACTGAACTGAACCTCCTCGGACACTATGTCCGCCATGTGCACACTCTGATGGGCAATTAAGGCCTCGCGCCTCCACCCAAAGTGGATATCTCATATACATACCTTAAAATATGATAGAGCAATTATAACCAATGTAATACCCAGTCTGAGTTCCCACCTGAATTGATAATGTAAGTGCTGCTGCTGATCACTCTGTAAAAATATATAAATAAACAAATACTAAGTACTACGCTCAGACTGACTGAAAATAGCTGTTAAGATGCTCGACTCGATCTAATATTTAACTGGAACATT